AAACTATAACAATCATTATTGAGGGATTTCTGAAAAAAAATTTTATAAGAAATGTAACACCTTGTTTCTCAACCTTTTTTCCGTTTAACTGATTTTAATAAATTACTTTAAAAAAATAATAGATTAAATAGTTTGTAAATGATGCATAAAGCAATGGACAGTTTTTTGAATAATTATCAAAAATTACTTTGATCTACTGTTTCTTTTTTCAGATTCAAAATTACTTCAAATTTAAAATGCATAATTTTAGCAACATCTACTGGTGATAAAGATGGCTTAGAAAATGATGATGGAGGCCTTTGTCGAACAAAAAATATGAGGTTGAAAATTCGAGTGAAATCAAAATGGACAGGAGTAAGTCAAAAAAGTAAGTATATCTAAATTAAATTTGCTAAATTCTTCTCTTTCTTACATTTTTGAAATTTATGATAAAAATTTTACAGGAATTTCAGATTGTTTTTATACATCTTACTGCTGAATAATAGTAATATGTTGTAAGAATAAAAATTTGCTTTTCTGAAATTGGTACTCATTTCCAAACTTTTAAAAATATGATAATATTACATTTTTGCAAGTGATTCTTACCCTTACCATTATTTTTACAGTTCCAGAATTTCCTACCAAAAATGGACCAGTCATGATGATTCCGGTGAATTCTGGACAATATGCTGTACCTGTTGTATACGTTCCGGTAAGTACTAAGAAATCTATGTAACCATGAGTTTTTTTTTTTTGAAATAAAATAAAAAATACGATTATGAATTTATCCTATCATGTTTGCTGTCAAGTAGCTTTTTAAAATTTCAGGTAGCTCAATCAGTCGAAGTTAACGAAGGCAATAGAAAAAGACCAGTGTTTCCGTATCATTTGTATTTTGCAAATGGACAATTTCGAGCCAACAACTCGAACTTAGTAGATTTTGGACCTAAATCGGGTATTTTTTCTTGAAATGAACATTCATTCTTTGTAGCTTTAAATTTTCCAACACATTACAATAGTATTATTGAATAACAATATGTTGTAAAAATAAAAATTTATTTTTTCCAGAAATTGATACTCATTCCTATGCTTTTAAAAATTTAATAATATCTGGCAATAGCGGTGTGTTGCAAGATAGTAAGATTTCATTTTCGAAAAATCAGGCAGAAATCGTTTTCACACAACTCAATAATTCTAATTTACATCTAGCATATTTAGTTTAAATTTATCAAATTTAATCCAATACAATTGCTACAGAATTACGATTTGATGCTGGTGATCAACCTAAAGATTTCGGGAATTCTGCATCTATAATTAACTCAAATGGATATGTTGCACCAAAATCTCTTAAGGGGAAAGATATCGATTTTGAAATAGAATATATGGATTCTGCTAGTAAGAGAAGTAAGTTTAGTTACATACATATTTTTAAGGAATAAAATAGTAGTTTTAACAATGACATAACCAAAAAAATTCTCATTAATTTAAGAACCTGTAACGATTGTATAGTGAAATATTATTGATTATTTGGAAACTTTTTGAAGTAATATTTCATTGATTTCTTTATGATGCCTGTAATCTATTCTATTTAATTTTAAGATAAAAAAATTTTCAACAAAAACAAATTTGAATTTATTGAAACACGTAATTAAAGGATAAAGCTCTTTCAACTTTGTTTGGTTTTATGGAAAATTTGAATGGATAGCGTTATCATATCAGATTCAATTCAGATTATGTGATAACAACAGAGTGAATTTTTGCAATTAAAAGAGAAGAAACTATGATAAGGATTATTTCTCGATTACTCTCAGTATTTGATTTTTTTTTTTCAGGATCATACGAAAAAATTGGAACAATGGAAATTGCAATTATTACAAACTATATTATACTGGCGGACATCTTTTTATTATAAATGATTATTTTTGGCACATTAATATTTATCATTCCTTCAAATTTGCCATTTTTGTATAACTCATATTTGTTATTTCTCTTAATTGTTACATTACGCTTTAAATTATTTTATTAAAATCTTTATATTATCTTCTAAATTATTTGCCCTAACTTTTAACTGTTCAATTCAAATAATAAGCAATCTTTCAATCTTACCGTCCATTATTGCCATTTCCTTTTGTTCTGTTTTGTTTGCTTATTCAGCAGCTACATTTTCATTTTAAAATATTTTTGACATAAGTGAAGTTTTCTTATGTCTAAAAAAAAAATTTTTTTCTAAACATTTTCTTATATTTACAATAATTCCTGGCATAATTAATATATCAATTAGCTGCATTAATTAAATTAAATCTTATTTCGTAATGCAGTTATTGGGAATTAGAAGAGTATCAAATTTCGGTTTGCTTTTTTTCTTTTTTTTTCAATACCAACAAATACTTTATGTGCACATTCATGCCCACAAAAATTTAATGAAAAATTACGTTGATAGTAATCATTTAAGAATGAAATAGGTGAAATTTGAGGGGATAACAATCAATTAAGAATGGAACAGGTAAAACTAATCTAAGGTGCAGAATCTGTACATTTATACTTTCACAGATATTCCAATGAAATTCGATTGTTTGGAACCTAAATGAGCTTTAATAAAGTGACAACATCAAATTTAAAAAAATATATATATATAAAAACCATGCAAAAAAAAAATTCAGTGGTTAAAATCGATGTTTTTTTTGTGCAATAACATATTTTTATTGTTCTTTTGATAATTCATCAATTTTTTTCCAAATTTTTATTATTGCCTTGAAATTTGTCTATTTTTTGATGAAATTGAATCAATTATATATTATTGTTATTACTGCCTAATTATTAATTCGCACTTTTCATTTGATGATGGTAAACATGAATCAGAAGCAATGCTATTCCGGGTTTCAATTATTTTAATGCACAATTTTTGTTTCATTCAAGATCGGTTCTATATTAACAAACGCAGAAATGTTTTTGTTTCGGTTATCAGCCAGAAATATTCAATTTTTCTGTTATTAACCGGAAATATGCAACCAATAACAGGAAACAGTACATAAGTTCGTACCTGCATATATATAAATATTGTTACTGATTACATTATTTTGGTTTCACTTTGCAAATTGTTAATAGTTTATTATTAAAATACCTGAAATGTTATTATTTTTTAAATCGGGTTTGTAAAAAAAGGGTATTCAATTTGTTTTTTAAGTCCGATTAATCATTCTTCTTTCCATATATTTCCGTCATTTTTTTTGTTAATAATTTGTTGATTGTTGCAGTGATGCTGTTGATTGGAGGATGATGAATAATATAATTATCTTTTTTCAATCTTTTGTGGATAGATTATTAACTTTTTTTTATTCAATATCATAAATGCCATAATTACTCAAAAAATAATAAAATAAAATAAAATTCCTTCTAACATTTTCATTAAAAAGACAGTTCTAGTTTTGGTTCATTTTTACTGTGATTAAAACTCAATCAAACTTGAAATTTTGAATTTAAAAAAAAAAAAAGGGAAAAAAAACGAAAAAGAATTAATATAGTTTGTTGCACAGTAAAATTGGTTGACTGTTATAATCTCCTACCCCATCATTATTCCTAAATTGTTCCATTTTTCCCTTTTCCGTTGTGTGTGTTCTTTTAAACTTCTGAATATTGTATATAGAACTGCTTTAAAATAATAAAAGATGTTAAAGAAAACAATTTTTTAATACAGAAAATTTTCTCAAACAACAAACTTCATTCATCAATTTTAAATTTCATTTTTATGAATAACAGTAATAATAATGACAAAAATAATAACGACAATAATAATGATAGCAATTCAATTAATAATGATAATAATTGATAATGATGGTAATTAATAATGATACTAGAAAATGATAATAAATGATAATGATAGTAAATAATTAATAATGATAGTAAATAATAATGATAGTAAATAATAATGATAGTAAATAGTAAGATATAAATAATAATGATAATAGTAATAATAAGAATAGTAGTAATGATGATAATGTTATTACTGCTATTAATTATAGGTAATAAAGAATAATAACAACGATAATTGAAAATAATTATGGATAATAATGGCAGTAATGACTAATAATTTAGCGAAGACGACATAATTACTCTCTGCAATACTGATAGACTTAGGAAAATATACGACGAAGGACGGAGTGGAAGAGAGTGTTAACAGTGTGGTTGCAAAAGACAATTCTTCGACAAATTCCACATTGTGAAAGGAAAAAACCATAATAAAGTTTAGATATTCGATCTTCAAAATATTGGTGTATTGTAGAAATGATACAAAAAAAATGACTCATTGATTCTTAGTGATCTGAAATACTTTGCTGATTTTATAAATAACACTTTGAAGTAGAATTTAATTGCAAACATTGACAAGCACTAATTAATTTGATCAATTAAGGAGTGTAAGATCGAATTTTGCTCCAATTTGAAATTAGAAAGAGTTTTTCTGTTTCCCTTTTTAATATAATGAAATTAAAGAGTATTCATAAATATAGTTTCTTTTTTTTTTAAACTACCTATTATTTGTCATTCAAAGTAAAATTATTATTTAGTGCATTACTAACGTCACCATTGTATTTCGTTCTTAAACTACGATTAGAACTTATCCATATAATTGTTTGTTATAGATGAATTAAAAATATACAAATTCACAGTATTATTTATAAATGATACAAACACGAAATACTTGAGGATTCAGATGATAAGAAGCTGAAGAAGTTGGAATCTTTTCTGATTCATGAAGTGAAAGAATCTGATTCAGTATTTAAAACTTAATAGAAAATTTTTCTTGAAAGAAGTTCGGTAACAAGAAATAATCGGTAGTAAAGACTGAAGAAATGAAAAGGAAAATCAATCAATCAATTTCTACCCATTATCGGTCTATATAATTTTCCGATAAATCATTTCAGTGTTTTTTTTTTTTCTTCTTGGAGATGCAACAAATTCTTTCATCATTATTTAGGAGTAAGCATATGGTCTGAAATAGTTCGGGATCTAATTAAGGATTTTAGAATGAGTAAGATATTTCCTTCTTTATTTAATCCCAGAAAAATTTCCATTTATTCATCGAGTAATAAACAACCTAAAATTAATGATCATTTCATATTAATCAAATTTATTTTGACAAATTTAATCATCAATAAATGACGGTCAAAAAATTTTGTTATTGAGATTTATTCCAAAAAAAAAAAAAATTAATTATTGATAAATTATTGCGTCATGAATTTATGCCAGAAAATTCAATATACAGCTTTATCATTTACATTTTATACATTTCTTTGTGTAATATATATTAAGCGTCCTCTGTGTCATAAAGTTGGGCCTTATCTTCACATTATCTGGGCCTCCGAGAAATTCAGTTGCACACAATCAAATATTTCTTTTTAATTTATTCTTTTATTCCCTAAGAAGGAGGAAGAAAGGAAAAAAAAAAATGAAAATATGTATGGAAGTTTGATGACGTCAAGAAGTAGCACTCCACTTAATGGTAACAAACATATCGTGTAGCCAAGCAATCGATCTTCCTGGCTCACTCCGCCCATATTGCTGCTCTCCCGATCCTAATCATATCTCAAGCCTTAGGCTTTAGGCTATCAGTCAATTATTCTCATTTCAGGAATCATAAAATCATTCCATTCAGTGCAATGCTACTGTGATTCAAACAATAATAACGATGCGACATTATCACGCATGCGGCGGTTATTTTCTGCTATTAATCCTTATGATATTAACCATCGATCAGGCCATTCAACAATCGGAATTTGATTATAATTATAAAAATATTTATGGTGAAAATGTGAAAGCTAATGATGATAATGATGATGATGGCGATGGTAACATTATTAACGATGATAATAATCAGAATATCGCTCCATTTCAGTATTATGAGGATTTGGATAATACAAATGATAAGGTTTTACAATTAACAATGAATAACAAAATTGAATTTTTCTTGAACATCTTCAAATTTTATTGTTTCACAAATTTTTTGCTTTTTTTTTTTTAGAAATTCATTTTTTCCTTGTTACAACTAATTTTTGTTAATTTTCTCTCAATAAATTAATCATTTTTGTTTTATAATATAAATTTTGTTTTACGATGCATAAAATGTGAATCATTTATTGAATTTTTTTTTTGGCTATAATAATTTATTCATTTCTTCTTTATAATTATTTGAATTAGAATAATTTTTCGTTTTTTTTTTTTTGAATGAATATATCGTCCTGTCATAATCTTCGTTTTTTTCTTGCTTTTAGTCTAAAATTTTGATTTTTTAATCAAATGTAACATTAGGTTTTTTTTTTAGATTTTTTTGAAATGTAATATAGGTTTTTGTTATTCATTTTCCTAAATAATTATTTATTTTTTCTTAAATTTAGGCTTACATTTTATTGATCTCAAAACCAATTGGACAAGTGACAGGGCTTGGAATTAATTCGCAAGGATACCTTTTAGCGTTTCACAGAGCTAATCGAGTATGGAATCAATGGTCTGATAAGTTTTTCCATTTGAAAGAAAAAGAAAAAGTTCAAAAATTATTTCCACTTGATAAATCTATTCGTTCATTTCAATTAATCATAAAACAGTTTGGTAAATCTGAGAAAAGAATGATCGGACACTAAAAGCTTTAATACCTAATGGATTTTTTATGAAGCATTTTAAACTGTAAAAATAAAAAATTTACACTCCCTAACTATTATGGATAATCAACTGAATAACTAAATCGAATAGAAATTAAGGATCTATTTTGAAATTGCTCGTTAATTCAATTCTTATATTTATTCCAGTTGGAATAAAATGGATTGGTGAGAGAAAAATATTAGCGCAAATATATTATTTAACAAATACAATTCAAATTTACATAATAAATAGGATAAAAATTTTATTGTTTTTTTTTTGAATAATTTTTGAATTTTTGCTATGTAACTGACAAATTTATATTTTTGTTTGAAATTTATGTTTTTTTTTTCTGCTATTAGCATAGAAAATGCTAAATTTTAAAACTATCATTTAGTATTTTTTGTTATGAAAGATAGAATTTTGATAGTTGTTATCTTTCTACACATAAAACCAGTTTGATATCAAATGGTAATAATGTGAACAATTTGAAAAATGGTAGTATTTTGATTTCCATATAAAACTAACGGATATTAATATTTCTGGTGGTTTTTGATATTGAGTAAATAGGATTTTATACTGAGTAAATAAGATTTGTTGATTAGTTACTAATAAGCCAATGTGCTAAATTATCGATAGGATAAGAAATGGTTAGCTAAAAGAGATCATTTCATACTTTATCTCTTCCAAGAAATCTTTTCAGTAATTGCAGTAGCTTTTGTTTAGAAAAGGCTTTATTAAAACATTCAATTGAATTATATGAGAGATTTTTGAATATAAGCAGAAAAATTTTATGATTTAAAACTTTTTCAAAAGTTTGAAAATATTAAAATTGATATACACTATTTTTAATAATTTATTTAGCATAGCTGTTTAGCCAAAATGTTATCAACTTTCTTAAACTAAAATAATCAATAAAAATTTTAATTGAACACTTCTAACTATTTACTAAATTATATATTTATTTATTACTTTTTCAAAAAATTCAAAATGGAGAAAAAAAAAACTGGATAGAACAATCAATTTTAGCATTACATTGAAGTAGCTCGAATTTATCTCAATAACTGTTTTTGCTAAATAAAGTCGTGTCATTACAACGTTTGCTATTTAATTAAATTAAGTGAAGGCAGAAATTTTAAGATAAGCAAATTTTTTGAAATCAAAATTTGATAATTAAATATTGTAAAGAGATGAATTACAGTGCCTTTTGCATTGATGATAATCAATAATTTCCATGCTGATAATTAATAATTCTCGTGATAATGATTTCATCACAGCGATGATTGTTATCGTAATTGAAGTCATATGAAAATTATAGATTATAATAAAAGCCAAGAGATCAAAAATCATAAGAATTAATAAATCATTTATAACCGCTTAATACACGTTGAAAAGATTATAACACGTAAAATTTGAGGTAAAATTCTCAATCATTTAACGCATTTTATCTCTAATTTACAAAACAATAATTTTTAGGTCATTTGATAAACATAATAAATTCAATGCAAGTCTTGGGCCAATAAAAAATGCCACTATTTATATGATTGATCCACATTCTGGCACTGTTATGAAAGAATTTGGCCAAGGCATTTTTTACATGCCACACGGACTAACCGTGGATAGCAATGATAACATTTGGGTGACAGACGTTGGATCACATCAGGTAGGAATAATTTGAATTTTGAAATTTTAAACAAAATATCAGTTTTTTTTTTCCTTTTTTGCTCGAAGGATTAGTTTATTCATTTCGATTTGATAAACTTATTTATTAGTTTTAATAAAATTTGAATGTTGGAGAGAAATTTTAAGTAATTTTTTGCAAACGAATAATTTTGATGTTCAGTTTAATTTATCGTTGTTTCATATTTTAGCTAATATTGGACGATTATTTCAGGTATTCAAGTATGATAAAAATTTCAAATTGCTGATGAAATTGGGTGAACATTTGAAACCGGGTTCTGATAAGAAACATTTTTGTAAACCGACTGATATAGCGGTTGCTCGTAACGGACATTTCTTTGTGGCTGATGGTTATTGTAACAATCGAATCATGAAATTTGATGAAAATGGCAAACTGTTAGCAGAATTTGGTCATTTCAATGGTTTGCTTCATTACTTTGGATATTATCAAATGAGTGGAATTTAGTGAAATATTACTAAACTCATGAATAGTTTAATTAGTAGAATAAATCAGACATTTTAATTTTAAAATTTCCTCTGCAAGTTTGTTATTTGTAAGGATTAAATCTATTGTTATGCATGGATGAGAAAAAAATTGAAAAATTAAATCTTAAATTTGATTAATTTTAATATCAATTTTAAAAATGTTCCAATGCGATTCATTCAAGAAAAAGCCAGTTTTGCAAACGAAAAAAAAAGAGAAATTTTTGAAAAATTGAAAAATAGAATGATGGTATTCATTTCCTTTTTTTTTTTTGCTCATCCGAAAAAAATTGATGAGTTTTTCAGATGAAATAGACTTTTATTTCAATTTTTTCTCTCCTTTTTTTCTCGCTTTTCATCAAGATATTCGAAAATTAAAAAACTCTGCGAACAAAAAAAAAAAATAATAATAAAATAATAGCGATTTTTGAAAAATTGAAAAGTCATTTATTTTTTCTCTTTCTTTGTTTTAAATGATTCATAGAGAGTTAGTCATTTTCAAACTAAATGACTGCCATATTTCATAGATGAATAACTGGTCAAATAATATGACTATATGAATGAAAAAGAACACTTAAAAAGTACCATTAAAATTGGTATTGTTTAATTTTAAAATAATTTAATTGAAATTGATTATAAAGAAAGTACCACTGGACTATTAAGAAAAATTTTTAATTTTTATTGCTTTCTTATTTTTTATGTGTTTAAAATGTAAGTGAAACGAATATTTAAAAGTGAGCAATAAATTGAAATTGTATTGTCTTTTTTTTTTTCTGATACCATGAAATATTTCAGGTTTTGGTGAAGCAGCAGTCGCTAGTCAATTCTCGATACCCCATTCGATAGCACTTATTGAGGATTTAAACTTGATTTGCGTGGCGGATCGTGAGAATCAACGAATTCAGTGTTTCAGTGCCGGCATTGCGGATGAACAACGAGCTTTACCAACTGGAATGCTAATCACTAAAGCGGAAAGTGTTGGTCGAATTTATGCCATTCGTGAAAAAAGTTAGTTAGCTATTAGCTTTTTATTTTGCTGTTCCTTAGAAACTCGTTCATTTGTAATGGTGAAAAAAAAAAAATTCGGAAAAATTTCAAGAAGAAATTACCAATAATTCTGATAATTGTTACTTAAAAGTAATGCTATTAAACGATATATTGGAAATAGAATGAACTTTTTTTTTTTGAAACATACATTACTCAAAGATAATTTATGTATTTCTGAATGACAAATAATGACAGAATTTTTTGGCATCAGAACTATCATTTATATATATCGTTTAATGATGTGATATAGCAAGTACTGTATAATTATAATGTATTTATCATGTATATCATTATAATCTACGATATATCAAATATCATTGCAACATAGGATATAATATTTGTTATAGGGTTATAATACTATAATCTGTGATATATTAAGTACTATATCATATCAAGCATAATATCAGTATAATTTGGATTATATTAAGTATTGTATTCCTATAATGCAGTAGTATTACATCATTCTGAAGTATAATAATCAATAATTAGCTTGATTAAAATTTTAAAATTTAATAAATTATTTAATATTTTAGAACACTATTTGGTGGGTGTTACCGAATCAGACGGTGAAGGAATCGAACCACAATTATTTGTGTTGGATATGAATAATGGAAAAGCGAGCACATTTGTAAAAGTAACAAAATTTGAAATGAATTTTTGAAGTTTAATTGAGAAAGCGAATGATTTCGTTTTTAAAAAATGAAAAAAGAAGAGTAATTTTTATTCTATGCTCTTTTTTTTTTTGTTTTAGGGAATCGAAAATGCACATTGTTTAGCAATTTCGAATGACGGTATCGTTTATGTTGGCCAATTGGAACCCAAGCAAATCGTTCAAATTTCACTGCTTGATCAGTAAGATGAATACTGAAATCATAATTCGACACTGAATTAAAATTTAAAGTTTCGTATAGAGATTTGAATTCCTATTTATTCTTCTTTTCTCAATTACTGAATATATAAGAAATTATTAGCAAGAAAAGAGTGGAATATGTACAAATAAAAGTTAATTTATTATTTTCTCATTGCTTATTTGCTACGCAAATAAAATTCAATCGCAATTTGTATGTGTTAATGCAACAAAAAAAAAGAGAGAGAGAGAGAGAGACAGAGAAAAAAAATTCCTTTGGTTTAATGATAATGTTGAAAAGTGCAAAACATCAACAGTTATAAAACAAAGCTTAAATTTAAAATTTAAAATGAAATTACAGATAATTGTTATGAAAGCGTGAAAAATTAAAAACAAATTATTAATAATATAAAGTAATAATTTGCATATTCTTCAAATACTTTTTTTAGGCTAATAGCTTTTCAACTAAATACATTTTGATTAAACAAAATGGATGTGCTTCATGTGAATATTAAAATATAAGAACGAATCGATATATTATTGCTCATCGGCCAGTGGTTAATAGAGATTTTGAATAGCAATTATCCTCAAGTAATTAAATCATTTTTTGAAAAAAAAAATTATGAGTAACTTTTGTATCACCGAAAATTAATCAAGTTAAAATTTGGCCATTGTAATTTGCCAACTAACATTTAAAGATCGACCAAAGTTTGCTGAATAATTAGACTTTTCTAGCAAATTCTTATTGTTTAATAATTGCAAATTCTTCTTATTATGCAAAGTCAAATAAATTAAAGTTCGCTTATTGTTATTTATGAAACGTAAAATATTAAATATCATTTAAAATTTATTTAGAATTATAGATGACCTCAGAAATATGATCAAGCTTAAAAAAATATTAATAAATGGATTATGTCAAACGTAAAATTTGTAATTACCAGCGTTTTATCTTTTCCTTTGTTTCTGCTTTCTGTTTCAAATTTTTATGCCTGCGTTTACTACTTTATTTTAAAAACAATATCTCAATTAATTTAAAAAATAAAAATTTCACAGCAAACGATTCATATCACATAATTCTATTTATTGGCCCGTGTGAATTTTTAAGTTAAAATTTATGTAAGCTTCCGCACGAAGGTGGAATTTGAAATTCATAAAATAACATCATTTTTTTTATCCTTTAAAATAACTAAATGAAGTGAGCTTTTGCTTGGAAGATATGTGCTGAAGTGTTAGCGGAAGTGATTTTAGAAAAGAAGCAAACAAAAGGGATGAAATTTGTGGGTGAAAGAAAAGTGTAAATATGTGTGTACATAAAAGTAACAATGTTTTCTAATAATTATTTACCTTAAAAATATCATTTATAGCAAATTGATTAGCGACTTTCTTAACGTAGTTATTGAATTGTTAGGAAAAAAGTGCAACTCGTTTTTGTTAAAATTTAAATAATGAAATGAAATGATAAACAAGGAACAACTATTTTCACGTTTAAATATCGAATTAAAATAGTAAAATAAATTAATCATGTTGAAATTTAAGTAGTAAAATGAAATGGCAAACAAAAATTAGCATAAATTGTAAATGCGTGTGTAAGACTGATACAGTTTGATCTTTAATATGGCGATTCTCGTCTTTCAAATTCACTAAATGGTAAAATTTTGCATTATTCTT